GAGACAGGGTTTCACTGTGGCTTTGGAGGCTGTCCTGGAACTCTCTCTGTAGACCAGGCTGGCCTCGAACTCACAGAGATCCACCTGCCTCTGCCTCCCGAGTGCTGGGATTAAAGGCGTGCGCCAGCCAGCTGAGATTTCAATGTGCACTTTTCAGCACTGCACTATTCTCAAGTTCCTAGGTAAAGTTTAGATGGACTACTTCTAACTTTAAACTTGCTATTTTCATCTTATTATTTATATATATTTATTTTGGGGTTTTCGAGACAGGGTTTCTCTGTGGCTTCGGAGGCTGTCTTGGAACTCGATATTGTAGACCAGGCTGGTCTCCAACTCTCATAGATTAGCCTGCCTCTGCCTCCCGAGTGCTGGGATCAAAGGCATGCACCACCACCCGACTAAACTTGTTATTTATAAAGGCAGTTATTTGTGACAGAGCCTTACATAGCCCAGCCTGGCCTTCAACTCTTGATCTTCCTGCCTCTGCCTCTAAACTTCTGGAACAACAGGTGCGCACCACTATGATCAGCTTAAAATGTTACTTTAAAGAATGTTATTTTTCAGCCGGGCTTTGGTGGTGCACGCCTTTAATCCCAGCACTCGGGAGGCAGAGGCAGGTGGATCTCTGTGAGTTCGAGGCCAGCCTGGTCTACAGAGCGAGTGCCAGGACAGCCTCCAAAACTACACAGAGAAACCCTGTCTCGAAAAACCAAAAAAAAAAAAAAAAAAAAAGAATGTTATTTTTCTATGTACATACTTGTAGCTCAATACATGAGTTCAATATATATTGGGGTTCTAAGTAATAAAATACAAATGATTATCTATTACGTCATATGGGAAAGAAACTGCTTATGACATCAAGAGGAATGCTGGAAAACAGCCCACACTACTTATCTCTTATGCATTTAGAAAGATTAAGAAGCACAGGCTGGCTTCTGTCTCAGCCTCTTGAGTGCTAGGATTAAAGGCATATGTCACCATGCCCAGCTGTCTCTTTCTTTTTGGAATATTTCCTTTTGAGAACATGTTTAGGGGTGTGACAACTACCTTGGGATAACGACAAAAGATTCTTTAACACAGTGAAGATAAGAGAGGGCATTTTTCTTATCAGAGATGTAAATTTATGAAGCAAACCATGCAGACACAGGACAAGGGGAGTTGAGGACAGAGTTCCCTATCAGAAGGAAGAGTGCGTCAGTAAGGTACTCAATGGGCTTTGCCTAAATAGTAACAACCCAAACTTGCTCCTCTTCCTGCCGTTTCCCTCCCTTGCTAAAGGTTCTTTCCTCCATCATTCTGTCTTGTTTTTAAAGGATTTTTCTGTGTAGTTCTACTTGTCCTGGAACTCGATATGTAAACTGGGCTGGCCTCAAACTCCAAGAGATCTTTCTGCCTCTGTGTCTGGGGTGCTGAGATTAAAGGCGTGTGCCACCACACCCAATCCACATCTCTTCTTAAGGTATAACAAGAGTGTTGGATTATCCCCTAGTATTTAACAAGAATTTCGTGTAGAGCTAAAAGGGATAGCAAAGATAAAAAACAAACTTCCCAACTCACCACCAGAGATGTCAAGAACATGTATTCACTCAATATGCAGACACAAGGGACAGCAGAGTTTTCAGTGCTTTACAACACCATGATAAGCACAGGCAACCATGCTGTACTAGCTGGTTTTGTGTCAACTTGACACAGCTAGAGTCATCAGAGAGGAAGGAGCCTCAGTTAAGGAAGTGCCTCCATTAGATCCTGCTATAAGGCATTTTCTCAATTAATGATGAATGGGGGAAGGCCCCGCCCATTGTGGGTGGTGCCATCTCAGGGCTGGTGGTCCTAGGTTCTATAAGAAAGCAGGCTGAGCAAGCCAGGGGAAGTAAGTCAGTAAATAGCTCCCTTCTGCATCAGCTCTTGCCTCTAAGTTCTGGCCCTGTTTGAGTTCCTGTTCTGACTTCCTCCAATGATGAACTATAATCTGGAAGTGTAAGCCAAATAAACTTTTTCCTCCCCAACTTGCTTTTTGGTCACGGTGTTTCTTTGAAGCAACTGAAACCCTAAGACACGTGTCCAGAAAGCTGACTGAAGAAACGGCACGAGAAGTGTTTCAGTTACTGACTGTGGAAACTTTAAGTGTATTTTCTGAGTTACACAGGAGACTAAGTGAATGGCCATTACTCTGTTACTTCCTTTTCTTCTTTCTGTGTTTGTTTTCCAAGACAGAGTTTCTCTGTGTAGCTCTGGTTGTCCTGGACCTCACTCTGTAGACCAGGCTGGCCTGGCACTCAGAGTACCGCCTGCCTCTGCCTCCCTAGTGCTGGGATTAAAGGAATGAGCCACCACTCACAAGAAAGACGTTTTGTTTGACTACTTATTACATGTAGGTGAATTAGAAACTCAAAGGACTTATTTGTTTTTAAATTCAGATATCTTACATTTAGTGTCCGAGTATCCAGACACTACAGGCCACATGTGGAGACCAGAAGACACTCTTTAGGAGTAGGCTGTCTCCTTCCACTGTTCTAGTCCAAGGAACCAAACTCAGGGCATCAGGGCTTGGTAGGAAATGCCTTTACTCACTGAGCCATCTTGCCAGGGCAGGACTCATATTTCTAGCCATCTTTTAGGTGTGTGTGTGTGTGTAATGTTGTCCACTGCTGGGGCTTTTGTTTGAGACAATGTTTTGCTGTGCTCCTAAGGCTGGCTTCCAACACTTGAACCTCCTCCTCCGCTCAGGTACTGGCATTGCAGATGCACCACATGCCATGCTTTATCTACTCTTTTCTTTTAAAAAAAAGGAAAGAAAAGCTGTTTAGTTTGTGAGTTTTCCTGCATGCACTTACATACATCACATGGAAACGCCCACAGAGGCCAGAAAAGGGCAATGGATGTCGTGGAGCTGGAATTACAAGAGGTTGTGAACTGCCATATGGGCACTAGGAACCTGACTCCGGTTCCCCGCAGGAGCAGCAAGTGCTCTTAACCACTCAGCCATCTCTCCAGCCCTGAATGTACGAATTCTTCATCTACCTCAGTTTCCACTGGAGACACACCATGATGTTCAAACAGTCTTTCAGGGTGGCTGTGGTGGTGCACTTCTGTAGTGCAAGCACTTGGGAGAATGAGGCAGGAGGGCTCCAATGTTGAAGCCATCCTGTATTACAAAGCAAGACCTTCTCTCAAAACAAACAGGACATACACACACACACAAACAAAATAGCACCATCACAATCTGTTCTTTTATGATAGCTGTCAGTCTTGATAAAGCAAGCCCCCTGTTTTGAGTTAATCTAACTATGTGAACCAGAAATTTATATATATCTTTTCTGTATTTTTTCAACATTGTTCAACACAGGTTTGGAAAACTGGTTAGCATCTAAGCAAGCTATTATTCCTGTAGATAACAGAGAATTTTAAAGTAAGTGCTCACCTGCGTCTGTTTTTAAGACAGGGTCTCATAGAGCCCAAGCTGGCCTGGCACTCAGTGTACAGGTGGGGATGACCTTGAGTTTCTGACCCTGCCTCCACAGCTGGGAATACCAGGCCCCATTCCATCCAGTTTTGGACAAAACCTGTGGCTTTTGTGCAAGGAGCCCACCAACCGAGCTACAAACCCCAGCCATATATATTATCCTCTCTCTCTCTGTCTCTCTTGCCTTGTACCACCATACCCAGATGGTACAGAAAAGTTGTTTAAAATAGAATCATACTGAACATGAAGAAAACCCATAGGCTAGCTTTTGAGATGATGGCTTTTCCTGTGACAGATTTCTCACTTTTCTAGTAGGAAATGTTACAAATTTCAAGTCTTCAGATTCACCAGTCAAAAAAATAACAAGGGTCTAACAAAATTGTCAAAAACACCAATTGTTTTTAAACCTAGAAACATAACCAGGCTTATCTGATTTACCCCTTATTTATGGTTTTTGAGCATACTGGAATGTGTCGATAGAAATTCTTTCACAAAACTTAAAAAACTCACTTTGCCTCCACTTGCATGTGGATACTCGTACCTTAAATAATCTAAATCAAATGTGCCTGTCAGCATTGTGTGCCTGAATCCACTTGAAGCGAACTTGGATGAGAGATTCGAACTCTTAAAAACTGGCTTTTAGGCTTCTGCTTTATCTGGTTACTGCTTCTAGTGTCAGCTCTTTCTAGTTTCAAAATTTGCATGGCTGCCTTTCTGAGTTTGCTTCAAGAACCAGGCTTGAGCCACGCAGGAATTGCTCGAACTCGGCGGCCTCGGGCTGAGACTTATTTGCATCCCTGCCGTAGCAAAGTCCATTCCGGAGTGCGGCGTCAGCGCCGCCAGCTTTCGCGCTCACGCTCCGCCGCTCTCTTTAGAGATGGAGGGCCCAGCACCCGGGCCACCGGAGCCCCTGCCTCTGCTTTCCGGGCGTCGTCGATTTCACGGCGGGCCCCCGAGGTCTCGAGGGCACACGGCGCCGCGCGACACCTCGCTCCCCGCTCCCTCGTCCCGGGACGAGCAGGCGCGGTTTCCCCGGAGGGAGGTCCACGTCACCCGCGCAGGCGCGGGAGCGGGCTCACGCCGGCGGGAAGGGGCAGGCGCTCGGGCCGCGGTAAACAAGCACCGCGCATGCGCCGCGGGCCCAGGGTTCCGTCTTTTGTTTTGCATGGTTGAAAAGGGGAGGGGGAAGGGGAGGCCGAGCAGACCCTAGCGTCCTGAGACGGCGAGCTGTCTGCCTTTTTTTTGTGCTGTCTGTGGTGCCACCTGCGCGGCCATGGGAGCCAAAAATCCTCCACAGAGCTGTCGGCCCGCCAGGGGCCGTCTCTGACTGCACTGAGGCTGAAAGGACAAAAAATTTTAAATTATTTTTTTTTTCTTAAGGAGAGGTGAGGGGCGGTCCCTCACCGCAGGCCCTTTCCCCAGACAACGCGAGATCCTGCGCCAGGACGTGACGGCCCGCCCCCCGCGCCCCGCCCCGCCCCCACCGAGATCATGTGCGCATGCGTGTGGCGTTTTGGCGCGCAGACGGGTTTCAAAACTTCCTGCTTGGTCTCAGGTGGCCGGATTCTGGCCCCGAGGAATGTCTGTCAGGATTCTAGCGCACAGCGTCACGTTCTTAGGGGTTTTCGTTCGAGATTCCACGCGAATGTAACTCGGGCCCTCTTTTCTGTTCGTAGATGGGTCATGAGTTGTTGGGAATCAGACAGCCAGAGCGGGAGTGGGCGAGCCCAGCACGGTTTTAAAGTAAAACGTTGAGAGTTTTTGTAGCTGTGCAGGATGGTAACTGCAAGCAGCGTAAAAGGATGAATCTGAGGGACGAAAGGAATGTTTTGTTTTGTTTTTTCTTGAAGACCTTGAGAGGCTGTAAATGTGGACAGAGGTAAACTGATATGAAGATGGGAAATATTAAAAATGGAAGAGGTAAATGAAGACAGTACCACATGCTTGAGAGCTGAGTCCAGAAGGAACTATAGGTAGGAGAGGAAGCTTAGCCTAAAATATTTATGCATATTCCTAAACCAGAAGGCAGAAATGCCATTTGGTCTATGACAGTCAAGAGTGGATTGGAAGTGTCTGACTGAGACAGACTCGTTTCTAAAAGGGTTATGAGCTGAGGTTAGGACGGAGTAAAACAGGTAATAATCTGGAGGGGTCTCGCTGATCTGGCCTCTTTTCTCTCCCAGGGCACATGGAACACCTGCACAAGCACTGGATTTTTGCCCTGCAACGTCTCAAAGGTACCATTCAACACCTGAAGTGACCTGTTCCCAGAATCCCCCGGCACCTCCCACCAACCTCACCCTTCGGCCAGAATGAAATTTAGCTTGCAAGTTATTCAGATGTGTCACTGGCTCATTCTAAGACTACATATTACTAGTCTATGGCCTCTCAGTTCTGTAGATCTTGGAATCCACCTTTGTTTTAGGAGCAGTGCTATATAATACAGTCAGTATTTAGGTATTTTTCTTTTTATCCCCCAGCGATTGTTCCTAGGACCATGCATAAATACTGAAATTCATGATACTCAAGTCCTCCATGTATTGAGATGAACTATTTGCATGTAACCTGTGTACCTTGTAAACCTATAGATTACGAGTAATATGTAAATCAACGTAAATACTAAGTAAATGACTCCTTATTATATTGTGTAGGGAGTGAGGGCAAGAAAAGCATTCAGTACGGATGCAAATTTTTCTTCTCAATATTTTTTGTCTGAATCTGAGGATGCAAAACCCATGGATGTGTGTGTGGGGGCTGCCTTTCTCCATTTCTGTGTGAGTTATCTCTCCGTATTGATCAAGATTGGCCTAAATGGACTCAGAATCTGGTCTCAGGTAGTCCTTTTGCCTCGGCTTCCTCCATAACTGACACTGCAGGTGTGTGCTGAATATATTTTAATCCTTTGTGTACTCTGTAGAGAAAACATAGGAAGGCTGATGGGGCCCAACAAAGGAGTAGTGATAAGTGAGCAATATAGCTTCCTTCATCTGTAAGAAAGCAAAAATGGAATGCCTTAGGATTGAAGCTGGCAGTGACGGAGAAAGATCTAGTTATTAACATACAGGGGAAAGTGCTTGGGAAAGAGGTATGGAGGAGTCACACACCCACAGTCCCAGCTACCCAAGGAGGCTGAGGCAGGAGGACTGCTTGAACCTAGTTGGAGAACAGCCTGGGAGGTGGATGGAGAGAGGAAGAAGGAATGAAGAAAGAAAGGACCAGCCATGGTAGACCCTAACAGGAAGTTCTCCCTAGACCACTGTATTTTGGCAGACTGTGTTCTGTCCTGTCGGCTGCATGTGCTGAATTCACAGGAAAAGCAGGAAAAACTTATGGATACAATAGAATAGGATTTCTGGGTTGTAGCCTAGATATTTGGTTAGTGATTGGGATCACCCACCAGTTAATATAGAAACTCTTAAGAGTCAGGGACCCAAAACCTAAGGCTGGACTCTTGGATCTTCCATTCAGGCCACGCGACGTCTCAGAGGCTCCTTTTCCCGATTTATAAAGGATTACAGTAAAAGAAGGCCAAGGGTATTTTTTCTTAAAAATTATTTTAGCTGTGTGAGTGTTAGCCTGCACCACTTGTGTTCCTCATGCCCTCAGAGGCCAAAGGAGGACATCTGGTCCCTTGAGATTGGAGTCACAGATAGCTGAGAGCTGGGAATTGAAACTGAGTCCTTTGGAAGAGCAGCCAGCACTCGTAACTACTGAGACATTCTCCATCTCTCCAAACTTAAAGAATTAAAGTGATGACAACGTGAGCTAGTATTGGAAAGATTCATACCCTATGTGATCAGTAAGAGAGTTTCTTTCTTGAGCAACGTGTGCTTGCAGCTGCCCACCTGCAGGGAGCATAAGTCTGTCGGTGTTGGAAAGCCTTAAGACAGGTCCTTTCTCTTGCTTGTACATTAGAATTCCCTCAGGAGCTTTGAAAGATTTAATGCCTGGCTTTACCCTAGATCAGTTAAATCAGAATGTCTGGGAGTGGTGCTCCCAGACATCAGTATTTTTTTCTTTTTTAGGATTTCCAGCTTTATTTAGCGTGTGAGTACACATGTGTGTGAGAGAGAGCGTATGTGCAAGCCACAGCTCGTGTGTAGAGGCCAGAGAACTTGGAGGAGTTGGCTCTTTCCCAACATCATATAGGTCACAGGTTTCAAACTCAAGTCATCAGGTTTAACAGCAAACTTGTACCAGCTGAGCCATTCCAGTGGCTCAACATGAGTACCTTCTAATTTGTCTTTATAACTGTTGTGTGAGTGTTTGTTTCTGATGTATGTGGATGTCTTTGCTTTTGCCACAGCGTGCATGTGTAGGTGAGAAGACCACTGTGGAGTCAGTTGTCTCCTTCTCTGTGGGTTCCAGGGATGGAATTCAGCCTGCCAGGCTTGGTATATGGGGCAGCGAGAGTCTTTACCTCTTTGGCCCATCAGTTCGTTCGTTCTCTCTCTCTCTCTCTCTCTCTCTCTCTCTCTCTCTCTCTCTCTCTCTCTCTCTCTCTCTCTCTCTCTCTCTCTCTCTCTCTCTCTCTTTCTTTCTTCCGACCAGGCTAGCCTCAAATTCTCAGATTTCTCTTGCCAAGCGCTGGGATTAAAGGTGTGCATGTACCCTACCATGCCCAGCCTCCATTAGTATTTTTCTTTTTTAAAATTCTGGGTTTGTTTTGTTTGGATTTGTTTTTTTAGTAAGGTTAAGAACCACTGCATAAAGAGTTCCCTCTAGAAAACGAGAAGAAATTAAGGTCCGTGGCTTAACTCTGCATAGTCACACACTGGAAGATTTTCTGGAGGAATAAAGGCAAGGACTTGAGATGAGCACATGAGTGGAGCACAGTGAGGCAGATTGTGGGGGAGACACTGAAGTAAGCACCCTAGCTTGGGAGCAGCTAGTGCTGTCATTACTGCGGATGCCAGGAGCAGACTGGCACACTTTGAAGCTCCCAAGCTGGCCCTTTGATCTCGCATAGGTTTCTTTGCCACCTGGACCTGCTCTGCCCCATTGATTGGGGAAGGCATGATTAAAGTGCTTTCACCCGGGTGGTCTTCTCTCCTGGGAGGGCAGGTGGGAATGCCTTCTTAGCAGGCATCAGTAATGAAGCCTTTCCATAAGCCTGTCAGGGGGCTGGGGATGATCTGACCACACCAGTGGCTTTGCTGTTGCTGACAGATGAGAAAAGGGAGGTTTAAGCCCATCGTTACAAGCCCTTCTCAGTGAAAACAAAGTCACCTGGGGAGGGAGAGTGTCTGGGAAAGAAAGTTCTGTGTGTGTGTGTGTGTGTGTGTGTGTGTGTGAGCGCGAGTGTGCGCGCGCTTAGCCCCTGAGTGGTCTCCACAGCCTCGGACTCCATCATTGAGTAAGTCCCGGTTTTTAAGGAATTAGTGAGAGAGGCCTTGTGCACTACGCAGACATGCAGGAGAGATTGGTGTCTGGCTCAGGTAGTTCTTTTTTAAACTTGAATGAATTTGTTATTGGTATGTGTGAGTGTGATGTGGTTGTGGGGTCAGGTGACAACTTTCTGGAGTCGGTTTTCTCTTTCACCTTTATGTAGGTTCCAGAGACCAAACCACTCAGGCTCTCAGGCTTCTGTGGCACTTTATTCACTCACTGAGCTCTCACCACCCTCAGATGATTCTATGAGTTTGAGTGAGCCAAAGACAAATAATGCTTGAGGTTCATGACTGATTTCTTTTCATCTGCTGGAGATTATCAGTGCTTTTGCATAGGGGGCAAAATAAGGATAGGGCTGACTGGGGGAAATAATGTAGTTAGGAGGTTTGGATTTATAGCCTAGGGGTAGAACACATGCTTACTATTCTATTCCTGGAGCCCTGCATTAGACCATCAGCTTAAAACCTGACACCATCCACCCCTCCCTCCCAATTATCAAGACTAGTAATTCTGTGCTTTCTGCTTTGAAGATAGAAAAAAAAATCTATTGGACCTTGTTCAAAGTTTCATGCTATACCAATATGGTGTCCAGTCCATCTTTCTGCTGCTTTAGGGGATGTTGGAAATGGAATTCTAATGAGAGTAGCTTCCTTGGGTGCAATCGACTTTTCTTTGTAATGAATTATTTTTTGTCTACAGAAAATATTTGGGGCCTGGTTCCATGAAGATCGAGGCTATGTCGTATCTGCCACTAGTGGAGTTGCAGCTTCCTATGCCAAATGAAGTGTCATCTGGAAGTGTGGCAGCTTGCTCAAAGCACAGCTGTCCCAGCTGAGATAATCTAATAAGCATAGCACCAGGAACTCTGAGCACTCTGGAGACTAAGAACAGAAGGGAAAGGTTTCAGAGGGAGGTTGCTAACATGGTATAGGGAAAAGACAGAAGCTTTAGTGTGTCCCACTCTGGCAAGAACATTGTTAAATGGCTAAGCCCTGTCGATTAGGAAGCCAGCGGTCTGGTCCAGACTGCAGAGTCTGGATGAGGTGGCTGAAGAGCAGATTCTGTAGAAAGTGAGTCATGGAATGGGATAGGAAGACAGGAGAAGGGGTGAAGAGAGAAGTAGATCAAATGTTACACAGGCTGGGCGTTGGTGGCGCACGCCTTTAATCCCAGCACTCGGGAGGCAGAGGCAGGCGGATCTCTGAGTTCGAGGCCAGCCTGGTCTACAAAGTGAGTTCCAGGACAGCCTCCAAAGCCACAGAGAAACCCTGTCTCGGAAAAAAACAAAACAAAATGTTACACAGACGACCAGGGGGTGGTGGCTCACACTGTTAGTCACAGCACTCTGGAGGCAGAGGCAAGTGGATCTCTGTGAGTTGGAAGCCAGTTCTGTGACAGGATCCAAAGCTTCACAGAGAAACCCTGTCTCGAAAAATGACAAAAATTAACAACAACAAAAACATCCACCCATACATATATACCGGGACTGGAGAGATGGCTCAGCAGTTAAGAGCACTGGCTGTTCTTCCAGAGGACCTGAGTTCAATTCCCAACAACCACTTGGTGGCTCACAACCATCTGTAATGATATCTGGCTCCTTCTGGCCTACAGCATACATGCAGACAGGATACTGTATACATAAATAAGTAAATCTTTACCAAAAGAACTTACATAACCCTCAACAGGGGCTGGGATGATGTAGCTCAGTTGGTAGAGAGGATGACTAGCATGCATTAAGCTATAGGGTTAGTCCCCATCATTGGTGGTGCACACTGTCATCATTCCAGGATGCACAGTGAGCCCCCAAGGCCAGCCTGGGCTACATGTGACCCTGTCTCAAAAAACAAAACAAAGAATATTTTAATTAGTAGTATCTTTTTTAAAATTATTTTTATTTGATGTGCATTGGTGTTTTGCCATGGGTGTTGGCAGACAGTTATGAGCTGCCATGTGGGTGCTGAGAATTGAACCTGGGTCCTCTAGAAGAGCACTCAGTGCTCTTAACTGCTGAGCCATCTCTCCAGCCCTAGTAGTGTCTTTTAAGTAAAGATATCCAGGAAAAATAAGGGGACTACCCAAGTTTTAATTCAGGAATAAAAGGATCAACATATACAAAATGTTTTCAAAGTAACAGTGAAAAATAAAAATTAATTTGCTTTAGGGTAATATCCAAATTCATATTTATTTAGTATGCCAGAACAAAGTTTACAAGCATGTAGCTGGCTTTTTAAATTTTTTCGGTTTTGTGGGCGCTGGAGAGATGACTCAGCAGTTAGAGCCCTGGGTTGGATTACCAGCACCCACACAGTGGTTCACAATGTCTGTGACTCAAGTTCCAGAGTCTCTGACACCTTCTTCTGGCCTACTTTCGTACTAGGCGTCCCCATGGTGAATAGACATACATGCAGGTAGAATACCCATACACAATAAAACATTTTAAGAAAATTGTAATTTCATTTCCTTTTAAATCTTGAAGCTGTAAAGTTGATTGGATGAGGATCCTCCCTAGAAAAGTCCCTGAACAGGGTGCAATGTTTCACAAACATGGAGACTTAATTCTATCACTTGGGAGGAAGAACAGGAGGATTAGCAGTTCAAGGTTACCTAAAGTGACATGGGCACCCTCCAAGCCTGCCTGAGCCATATGAGATTCTGTCTCAAAAATAACAGCAACAACCCTTATAGCAAAAAAATGGAAATGCAATAGATTCATTAATAGAAGTAATATGTGTGAAAATTTAAGTAGTATGTGGTAAAAAGGAAGATAAGTCTGGGTGTGTAGCTTGCTATAAAATGAATGCTTACTGGGCCCTAGCCTGGTTTAGTGCTCAGCACCAAAGATTAAAGAAGAAAGACTTGAGTAACTTGATTTGGAGGGGTACTGCCCCGAGTTGCCCTCTGTCACTGTGAGAGAGCGCCTGACGACAAAACACTTGAAGACAAGGTTTACTTTGGCTCCAGGTTTGAGGGGATGTAGTTTAGCATGGAGAGTAAGGCATTCAATGTGACCTTGAACAGTCGCCTTGTGTCTACATTCAGGAAGCAGGGAGATGAAGATTTGTGCTTAGCTCTCTCCTTTTCTCTTTGTGTTCAGTTCAGGACCCCAGCCATGGGCTGATGTGGCCCGAATTCAGGATAGGTCTTCCCTCCTCAGTTAAACCACTGGGAGCACCCTCACAGATAAACTCCTAAGGTGTGCCTCACTAGAGGTATATGTGTGTGTGTGCGCGTGCGTGGGTGTGGGTGTGGGTGTGTGGGTGGGTGTGTGTGGTTATGCCCATAGTGGATGTCCACCTTACTTTTTGAGATAGTCTCTCACTGGACTTGGAGCACACCGGTTTAGCTGGGTTGGCTGGCCAGTGAGGTCCAGGGATCCTGCCTCTCCAGCACTGGGATTACAGATTCTTGCTTCTGTGTTCAGTTTTTACATGAGTGCTGGAGATCTGAACTCTGACCCTCATGTTGTAGGGCCATCTCCCCAGTCCCTGATTTTCTTTGGTAGCTTGGCAAGGTTCCCGGTAGTGGGACTGGGACACCAACCCAGCCACAAAACCTTAGACTCACACCTGTCCTGCAAGATGTTCTGGGACAATAGTGGTTTGGAGCTAGTGAGAGTGGCCAACCAATGACTGGTCTAACTTGAGGCCCAAGCCATGAGAGGGAGCCCATGCCTGATACTGCCTGGGAGGAAAAAAGTAAATGATTTCTAATGATATTCTGCTGTACTCATAGATCAGTGCCTAGCCCAATCGTCAGCAGAGAGGCTCCCTTCAGCATTGATAGGAGCCAATGCAGAGACCCATACTCAAATACTAGGCAGAGCTCAGGGAACCCTGCAGAAGAGGGAGGAAGGATTATATAGGCCAGAGTGTTCAAGGACATCAGAAGAACATGTCCCATACGATCAACTAAAGCAGGGCCCACAGGGGTAATGGGATGAGGAGAGAGAAGAGGCTGTGGTTGGTCGGAATTATTGTATGAGAGAAGAATTCAAAACAAAACAAACCCCAAATCATAGTTTGAGAGACTAGTCTGTTTTTGGAGTGGATAAGACAGAAACTGTCAAGCCTGAACCACGGAGGCATAAGTCAGAGAACTTAACAATTTTAATGAGTTTCCCAGGGACAGTTGGATAGTGGTTTTCTTTCAGTTAGTGTTTGAAGCAATTGGGAAGATTCGTTTTATTTTAAAATTGATTGCACTTACTGTATCTTTGTATGTACACACACTGTGTGTGTGTGTGTGTGTGTGTGTGTGTGTAGGTCAGAGGATAACCTGTGGACGTTATTTCTCTCCTACCACATGGATCGTGGGGTGAAATCAGGCAGTCAGGTTTGGTAGCCAGCACCTTTACAAGCCATTCTGTTTCTTTCTCTTAAAAGAATTAGTTACCCAGTTATACGAGCCATTTACTTACCTTGTTTGGTTCTCAGGAGGTTTTGAGGTAACAGTGGTTGAATATAGTGTTTTTTTGTTTGTTTGTTTGTTTTTGTTTTTGTTTTTTTTTACGAGACAGGGTTTCTCTGTATTGTTTTGGAGGCTGTCGTTCCAGCCCGGCCTCGAACTCACTGAGATCTGCCTGCCTCTGCCTCCGGAGTGTTTTGTTTTTAATGATGAAGTCTTAGTATGTAGCCCAGGCTGGCCTTGAACATAAGATCTTCCTGGGGGCTGGAGAGATGGCTCAGAGGTTAAGAGCGACAACTACTCTTCCAGAGGTCCTGAGTTCAATTCCCAGCAACCACATGGTGGCTCACAACCATCTGTAATGATGCCCTCTTCTGGCCTGCAGGCAAAAATGCAGACAGAACACCGTATACATAACAAATAAATAAATAAATCTTTAAAAAAAAAAGATGTTTCTGCTTCCGAAGTGCTGAGATAATGGACACAGCCACCACTGATGGTAGATTTTGTGTTTGTGTTGAGATAGTCTTGTTACATAACCCAGGCTGGCCTTGGACTTGTTATCTTCCTGCTGTCCAAATAGGTTGGTACCTCCATGTGCAGTTTAGTTGTTCTTGGTGCTATTATAAGTACTGACCAGCATGCTTGCTGACTGGCCAGACACCTCGAGAGCCCAGCCCAGTGTCACAAGACTGTAATCTCAGCAACGTAGAAGGATGATGAGTTTGAGGGCAACCTAACCCAAACAAAACTAAACAAACAGATAATACATACCTAGTTTATTTAGGCAATTTTAAATGTGACAAATGTTAAAATTAAGAGCTGAATTTCTAACTGAGGATAGGGGTATCTACCTGTAAACCCAGCACTGGGAGACAAGGGCAGAAAGACCATGAGTTAGTTGGAGGCTAGCCTGAGCAAAATAGCAAGAGTATTCTGAGTCTTATATAAAAAGGAATGGATGTGGCCTTTTTCATAAAATAAAAGTAGGAAACACAGGGCTAGGGAGATGACTTGGTCAGTAAAATGCTTGAGGACCTGGGTTTGGATCTCAGACACCCATGTCAAAAGCTGGAGCTGGCTGACTAGCCAACCTATCCAAACCAGTGAGTTCCGGATTTGGTTAGAAAGAGAATTTTCACATCTTGCAAATCAGCATTTCTTCTCCAAAACAACAACATTTGGAGTACCTTGGTTTGTATTCTTGGTGAGAAATAATAAGTTGTATGTCAGCCTATGAAACAAGAATACAGCTACACAATTACATTTATTACTTTTTAAAAGAAACTTTTAAATTTTATGTTTACAACTGGCAGAATGTATTTATGTGTACCATGGCTGTGTCTGGTGCCTGTTGAGGCCAGAAGAGGGTGTCAGATCCACTAGAACTGGAGTTACAGGCCTTTGTGAACCACCTTGTATGCGCTAGGAACTGAGCCTAGGTCCTCTGGAAAAGCAGCAAGCCATCTCTCCAACTATTTATTTGAGACAGAGAGACAAACAGACAGACCATGGCATGTGTGGAGGTCATGGAACAACTATTTGGCATTGGTTCTGCATGTTGATCCTGGGAATGAACTTGAGTTATCAGGAAGGGTCTTTATACCCGGAGCTATATTGCCAGCCAGGATATATTGCTTTAAATTCCTAATTTGGCGTAATCCAAATGCCCTCCAATTATTACCTGAATTTATGTTTAAAAATTAATTTAGCAAGCTGGCCAGTGGTGGCGCAAACCTTTGATCCCAGCACTGGGGAGGCAGAGGCAGGCGATCTCTGAGTTCAAGACCAGCCTGGTCTACAAGAGCTAGTTCCAGGACACCCTGTCTTGAAAACAATAAAACAAAAACAAAACAAAACAAACAAAAACAACCAAAAACTCAATTAGCAATATATAGTCAAATGTATTTTTATTTTTTTTGTAAAATGGCAAAGCATTTGCAACCTGGTTGTCATGGTCAGTGTGCATTTGTGTTTCTCACATATCCTCAGTAGGCTATTAGGAATTACGTGAGTGCCTTCCAAAGAGAAACGCCTTTTTTGTGTGTTCTTCCCAACGCTGTGTGGAAACAAACAGTCCTCAGATACTCTACATAGCTGGCATCTTCAGTTAGTCCAAATAGATTTTTAAGGAAGAAACAAGGGAGGATGGGAGGACTCACTCTTTTAGTGTAAATATGGGTTTTTGGAATTCTGGCAGTATGTAGGCCCATAGCAATCCTGTCAGGAAGCTAGATTTCCACAAGCTAGGTTTGGTTCTGTAAGTGCTCACTGAAAGCTCTCTTCAACAATTCAGTTCTTTCCCCCTTTCTTTAGTCAGCAGGGTCCCATGGTGACCGGTTTTGAAAGCAATAGTCCCCTTCAGCAGTTACCTAGCACCATGGCAACCAGGACGTCAGCAAAGCAGGATAGTCCCACACAAAATAGCTGTAACCAGGCTTTATGCTGCCTCTCCAGTTCAACTCTGCCTGAGGCCCACTGGTGGAGCTAAAGACATCTAGGCTTGCACACCCCAACATTCTGTGTGTTGATATGAATTCTCCCATAAGTAGGGATGTAACAACATTATATAGTAAACTATATCTTGAAATCCCCCCCAACAAAAGAAAACAAAAAATCCAAAGAATATAGTGAAGGGGCAAGAAGCAGGATGAGTTGCAGGATACGGGCTAGAAAGCAGATGTAGATTTAGTGAAATTAAATCATTTGTTCTCCTAAGAAAGTAAGTTGACAGTCGAGGAAGTTAGAGCCCCAAATAAATGGTGTGATTTTATATTTAAATGTAAGACTTCAGGGACAAGCTGTAAAAATACTCTTATTTACCTGAAATAGACAAATGGCTTTAAGGCGTGCGGAAGGGAGGGCAATGCTGTCCGTGGTGCTGAATACTCCACTGCCCAGATGTGCTCTAAGGGTGCCCCCGAGACAGATTGAGGGACACACAGCCACATCCGCATGCTGATAAGAGGAGGATGAGGAACTGCAGAGAAAGCGCCGCTTCCTTCCTTCCTCTGCGGAGCAGCCGCGAAAGCTGGGGAGACTACCTGACGGCAGAAGGAAAGCCGGGAACGGAGGGCGGGGTGCAGGTCTGCGGCTGATCTTGCCCTTTTCATATGGAGATTTCTGATCAGAGCCAATCAGCTCAGAGACGTCTGCTGCTTTGCTCCTGAAAAGAGCGGGGGGGGAGGGAGAGGCGATGGCCACATTTCCCCCCTAGCCACATGATCCATTTCCCATGTGACAAATTCCAGAGCCTTGGAAAGGAGAAGGAGGCCCCCCCCCCCAGAGTGGGGCTGAGGGTGGGAAGATGGTATAACAGTCAACCCAGCACAGCGTCATCTTGTCTCCTACCAGGAAGCAGGCTGTGAGCTGCGGGAAGGCAGAGGACAGATATGAACGTGTTCTCAAGGGTTCCTGGTGTTTCATGGCATCCTCCAAAGTCCTGTCCGAGGGCTGCTCCTGACCAAGAAGACCTACAGAGACTGTCTCTGAGATCAAGTCCCGATGAAGGTATGTGTTCAAGATCGCTCCATCAAGGCTGAAATTTGGCTCAGGACACAATACCTTCTCTTTCTTTTTTTTCCAGGCAGGTTGGAGATTTTGTGTGGGTTTGAATGCTCATTAGGGGCATTACATTTGATGCAGGTCCAGAAAAGATGTCTAGCTAGTTCTGTAAAATAAATACTTCTCCAGAGTAAGCTCCTATTGAGGAAAATAATTTGGTTGGAAATTGTATGTAGTAATTGACAATAAAACCATAAACTCATTGATGAAAGGATTTCTCTCTGCTTAATCCCGGAAGGGGTGGGAATCGTCACTCAGAAGAGCTAGGTTTCATTGTCACTGTTGGAAAATCCTATCTCATCTCTCTGAGCTGCTGTTCTGTGCCCGCGCTACTGGCAGTAGCTTAGTGAGCCTGGGTGGGCAGTCCTGATATTCCTTTGTGCAGTTAGCTCATCCTCCTGATATCTCTGACACCAGGAGCACCAATGATTGTCCCCAAGCTCTGCCTTAAGACACTGGACCACCACAGAATTCCACATCTTATGGAAAGCCCCAGGGAAGCTCTTAACAGGAATCTGCCATGCACTCATCTTGGTTTCTTTCAGTATTTCTGTCCAGCACAAAGGGGAGAGCTAGCAAATAATTCACATTTAATTTTGTTTAACAGACACTTGAAAAAGTTCTTGCTCTGTGCAAGCCATGATTCCAAGTGTAAGTAATCATTAATCTTTACAGAATACAGTTTAGAGATACAGAAACCAAGGCATAGAGGAGTTAGTTCAGGAGCTAGTCTAAGATCATATAGATAGCACATCATAAATAGAACAAGAGCTGAATCTCAGGTCTTTTGATCTTGAAGTCCTCATTCTTAACCACTGAGCTATGCTGCTTGCCTTCTTGAGCTATCTCAAATGATGTCAACAGTCTTTTGGGCTACAAATTTTGTTCAGCTGACGCTACTATTGAGTCAGCCTGGCTAAAGCATATCTCCAGTGAAATCTATATTTAATTTTGAATTATCCCGATAGTCATGTTCTGTACCCCCAAATAACCCAGTAAGTAATTGTCTGTTCTCTCCCTCTGTGCTGCATAGATACCTAGTAGTAAAACACAGTGTTACTATGGTGATCACTGATGTCTAAAGGAAAAAAAGATAAATCTGGAATTATGTTATGGTTGACTTTTTAAATCAGAACCTAGTAGCAAGCCTAGCCTAAGCATATTGCCTTCATGTGATTCAAAAGAAAATGACTATATCAAGACAAATGGTGACTAGTGCCTGTAACCCTAGCACCGGGAAGGAAGAGTGCTGCCAATCCAAAGCCTGCCTAGGTTGCAGAGTCAGACTCTGTCTCAAAGAAAGAAAAAAAATCTTAAAAAATTATGCATATTAACTATGACTGGGTTTGTTTTTTAAAACCCAGTTTTTAAAAATAATATCATGCTTTTAAAACAAGGCAATGTCTCTTTGCAAATTATTTAAGGTTTTTAAAGGTAAAAGAAATTTGCTAGTGCCTTTTTTTTATAAGTTAGGAATTTGTGGGGCTGGGGAGATGGCTCAGTGTATAAAGTGTTTGGCAGGTGTGAGGATCTGACTTCAGATATTCAGCACTGAAGTTAGAAAAAGTTGTATGGCTGTGTGTAGTTGTGATCCCAGCACTGGGAAGCCGAAACAGAAGGGTCTCTTGAGCTTGTCATCTTTGACCTCTGACCTGCATGGGCATGTATGCAAACACACATGCACTGTGAGTGGTGGACAGTGCCTGCAATCACAGGTAAGGAGTGAGAGGTTAAGTAAGAGGACCACCAAGAGTTCAAGGATAGCCTGGGCTACAGAGTGGACCTCTGTAAAACATAAAAAGTAAAAGATTTGGTCTTGATCTGTGTGGTTTTTCTTTTAACCTTTGATGGTAGAAGATGCCTGGTCTCATTCTTCCATGCTGCCAAAAACTGAAAGAGGTGCTGGATTTAAAACATAAAGTAGAAAGATAGGCAGCAAGCTCAGATTTGCAAACTTGTGTTTCCCTTTAATTCATTGCAAAACATGTTGAAGAATAGTTGTTTCCTCGGTGACATAGACATTTCTCTGAGACAGGTAACCAAAAAACTGGCCTAGTGAATGGTAAGCTCTCAGTACACATGTGAACATACAATGGGAAGACTCGCAAGTCTTAGCAACATTCTTTTTTTTTTTCGATTTATTTATTTATTATGAATACAACAACATCTTGCCTCATGTATGTCTGCACGCCAGAAGAGGGCACCAGATCTCATTTTGGATGGCTGTGAGCCACCATGTGGTTGCTGGGAATTGAACCTCTGGAAGAGCAGTCAGTGCTCTTAACCTCTGAGCCATCTCTCCAGCCCCTTAGCAACATTCTAATGGAGCTAATTTTGGTGCTTGTGTCTTTTTTATTTGTTTATTTATTTGGTTTGTTTCTGAGATGGGATTTCATGTAGCCTAGTGTAGCTGGCATGGGCCTTGAACTGGCCCTCTTTGCCTCCCTTCCCGATCCTGGGATTACAGGCATGTATCACTATGCCTAGCTCTGAGTCTATTTTATTTGCACATGTTTATAGTGAAGCAGCAAATATGCAGTAAGAATTTGGCAAGCGGTCAAAACTATGCTTGATGTTTATGTATGATAGTTAGGTTCATCATGAACCAGAACTGAGTAGTGTTCATAAATTCTTCCCTGGGCATCACTGGTCCTTCTCATACTCATTTGTACTTACAGTGAAATTCTCATAGTATGCTGTGGAGAGTTGGATGGGGACACCCCCAGCAGTCTTACACTTTCCTCATATGTTTTGTCTAACACTTCTTCCTGTCATTAAACAGCTCACCTCAGGTTGAGAGTGAACATCTTCAGTGGTTCTGCCCCATGCATTCCTTTGTCAAGTCTGATACCCAGGTCACAGAACACTGTCCAAAGGAATCTCAGAACTGAATAGACGCTTCCCTAGGAACCCTTGAGATCCTGAGGGTCAAGGCCAGGGCCTGTGTTTATTGGCAGGCTACAGTTCTTGCCCTGCCAGAGTGCTTTTGAATGCTTGCTTAGGATTTGAATTCAAGTTTGCAAGCTAACTATGATTAAACTAGTCACCCTCATGATCAGACACACAATACAGCCTTTGTTAGCTTGCTATCTAATTAAATCATTGAAGACAGAAAGAAAGCTCCTTCCCTCCAGCATCACCTGCTGAGTTGGCTACACAGCAGACTAGCAGCCTGTTGGAGGAGCAGTTGACCCGCACACAGGGCAGCACAGCTGACGCCCAGCTGGGCTTTCTACCTGCCCCCTTAAATCTGAAAGGAGCAACCCACCTAACCGCTGAACAGAAGACCGCTGAGAACTGTTGCCTTGAAGAGAGGCCCTCACAGTATGGTTGATTTGGAGGGCAGATGTGAAGGACCTGTGAGGAGGTGGACAACTGGCTTGTGCAGAGTCAGAGAGAGCAATGCTAGGTCCCACCCTGCAGACTGGAGTTGCATGTCTCTCTAGGGTGTGTGTACCAAAGGACCAAGTGTGGGTGGTGTGTCCTCCATGAGCATGGCAACAGGCGGGAGGAGATGGAGTTGACTTCTCGAAGGCTATAGGTGGGAGAAGAGTCACTGCGGGGGTTTTATTGTCCTGTCTGTGGTATCACATCCCCTTGGCAGAAACCTTTAAAGAGACATTTCCTGGAGTGTTTCTTACGACAGGCTCTCCCAGGCAGCTGGCAGCTATCATATTGAATCTTTATAACAACCCTGTCAGACACATTATTAGCCCCAAAGAAACTACATCTCAGAGAGACTAACTGACCTGTCTAAAGTCACAACTAGTAGCCAGCATTAAACTAGTTCTCTTTGATCCTAGTATATTACCAGTAATGTTCTTTCTTCTGTTCTTTAAAAATAATATATTTAGGTATTAGAATAATAAAAACATAGTTCTCAAAAAATTGGATGGCTGGACACTGGAGCTCTTCCACAGAACCCAGGTTCAATTCCCAGCACCCACATGGTGGCTCACAGACATCTGTAACTCCAGTTTAGGGTATCTGATGCTTTCTTCTGGACTCTGAGGGTAACTAGGTATGTAAGTAATGTATAGATATACATGAAGGCAAAACCCCATGCATTTTTTTTAAGTGATTGGGAAAATGCAGAGTACTAAGCAAGAACATCAGTTAAATCCTGACATGTTTCTTTGTAGTCTTTTTAAATGTGTATCACTAAAAGCAGGTATTTGTTGAGCTCTTGGTTTGTTTTAGATAATATTTTGGGATTCTTTCTTTGTTGTCATTATTATTATTTTTTTTTTGGGGGGTTTTCTCTGTAATGTTTTGGAGGCTCTCTTGGAACTCTGTAGACTAGGATGGCCTCGAACTCACAGAGATCTGCCTGTCTCTGCCTCCCGAGTGCTGGCATTAAAGACGTGCGCCACCAACACCCGGCTATGTTGTCATTATTTTTTAACTTTTATTTGTGTGTGTGTGCCATTGGATGCCAGAAGAGGGCATTGGATCCCCTGGAGCTGGAAATGAACTGCTTTTCCTTCTGCCTTTGCCTTCTAAGTGTTGGAACTATGCTCATGCAACACCACACCCGAATCAACCCTTTCTCATATAGTTTATTCTACCAACAATTCAGTAGATACTGTAATTTTATTGGTGAGGACAATAAGCACAAAGATAATTAGCTTGTCAGTGGCTACACAAACCCAGACAGGCTAGCTCTGGAGCATTTTCTTACCGCATTTGGCATTTGGAGCCAATCATTCTTTGATGTTCATTGTAGAATGTTTAGCAACATCCTTGGATTCTACCGCCCAGATACCAGTAACACACCCTTGGAGCCCAATGTCTGCAGACACTGCCATATGTCTTCTGGGAGGTAAAGGTGTTCCCACCTAAGAACTGCCCGACCGAAGCCCCAGTGCTCAGCCCCTGGCCTCTCCAACCTCTTCACACCTAAAATGTACATAGAGTGCTTTGAGGCGGCTCAGCCAGTATAAAGG